TCAACCATCCTTCTTTTCAAAAACCGGATCTGTTTCCCCTGGGGTTCTGATGGTTTTCTGGAAAGATTCGGATCCCTGGAAAGGATCCGAAAAGGAAGGTACCCCTAGAAGGATGAAGGTTTGTCTCTCCAAGTTCACTGGTTTCCTCTTGGCGTGGTTCCCCTTTGCGCCACACATAAAACGCTCCAAAACCCACTTGGTTTCGTTTCCAAGAGACAGGGCCTGTTATACTTAGCCTGACACGGTTTTGAAAGTGGAGGAGACCAACCGGCTTTGTTCTTGGCTGGAACTAGGACCCCAGCAAAAAATACTATTTGTTGCCGGGTTAATAGAAACTCACTTGCCCAAGGTTAACCTTTTGGCACCTCTACTAAAAATGGACCAACATGGGAAAACCAAAAGGTCAAAAGGTCGATTCGCTTTGGACAACTGAGGAACACAAAAAAGGGAACCCCAAAAAAGCAAACAAATAACAAAGGGGAACTCATTCTAGGGAAGTCTTGCGGCTCTGTTGAGCCCCCTGCAAAAGAATGACGTTCTCGGGGTTTAGTGGAAGAAAATCCCGGATTTCCAAAAAAAAAGTTAATGTCCAAAGATCCAACCCAATAGCAGATAAGTATGTAGGGCAAAATCCCACTTCATAACCTTCATTGGGTTGATCGGGCACCCATGGTCTTCCAAGCCGCCTTGTCCCCAATTCCATTTATCTGGCCTTTTCTCAACTAGGTCCTCCATATTTGCGAGGTCAGAATGAGGCTACCCGGTTTCTTTTCGGTCGTCTATTTTTTGTCGGGTAACCCTCCCAACCAAAAAAGAGGGCACTACTGGGGGACCTAGTTCAAGAGGGAAAATGGAACCATGAATGGAGATCCCTGTTCCCCAATTCCATTTTTAAGGTGGGCTGGTCCTCCCCTCATCCCATTCAGTGATCCTCAAGAAAAGGGAACCCTTTTTGGGGAAGACGATTTTTAGTGGGGCAGCCACCCCCCCCAAAAAAAAAGAGGGAAAACAGAATTGGTGCCACTGAACAACTGAGTTTCGGTTTTGATTGCAGTTTAACCTTTCACCCGAAAGTCGAAAGGGGCTGCCTCCCCCCCCCACCTCGTGAAGCCCGCGCACATCCTTCTCCTGGCAGCTTTCTGACGTGCCTTTCTCTGACGCGGATAACTAAAACCTCTGTATGGCCTTGTTTTTGAAGGTTCCCGTTGGTTTGTGGATGCTTTTCAAGGGAACCATAAGGAACACCGCTTTTTTGGGGAAGGTCCCCTCATGCCACTAATAACTCTATGAATTCAAGAGCTGGAGCCTCCTCAACAATTGTTGGTGGACATCAATCCCCACCTAAATGGTCTACAACCCCCAAGTAAACCACCTTCCACCGTCGCTTTACCAAATAAGCTCTAAGCTCTTTATAAATTGCTCCAAACATATCTGGGTGTGGGTCAAAGTTAAACCACCAGGGGACTGCAGGATTTAGTCCATGTTTCCATTTACCAGGGATACATTTTGGGTACCTTTTTTTGACCCGACAGCCATCTGGTGATGACCTGGGTCAAGATAGCACCAATTCCTGGCGCCCCTGGCGTACTCACATCCACAGAATCCACCAAGTGGTCCATGAAGCGAGGGGACGTGGTCTTTCCAACGGGTTGCGACCTTTTGGTTCCTGGAACCCCCCCCCAAGAAAAAAAGGGGGATTGAGCGGCTCAGCGGAATGGATACACTCGTGAATAGGTCCCCTCCCCCAACAAAATTGTGGTTTTTCCTTCGGCTGCTCACACACAAGCGCGCGTGCCATGAATGAGATCCTTCCAGTGGTCAAGAGCCACTTCCACAACAGAAGGGCCCAGACCGGGCGTCAATGGGAACCACGGGGCTCTTGTGCTGTTGGAGCTGAAAGCCCCTTCAAACAAAAAGCAGGCCCCGCCATCCATGGAGGTTGCCTATTGTACACAGACCAATGACCCGCTGAGTGGACTGCAAACTCGCTGGGCCTGTAAAATGAAGAACCTCGCCAGAAAGTTCAAAGTTTGCCCCTAGGTAGATGGAAGAGACACAATGGCTCGGCTTCCCGCTGTTTGGAGACCGGTGGTGGTAACCCTCAAGATTCAAAGGGTCGAATTTAAATCCAAACCAACAGGGATACCTGAAAAACTGGATCGACCCGCCATCCGCCCTGACAAAATCATGATGCTCATGGCCCCCATTGTGAGAGCTTGCCCCAAATGCAACCACTTTCAGGGACCCCGAAAAACGCAAACGCCCCAAACGCGCTTTTTAACCGTGAGTCGCAATCAACCAAAATGAAAGGTATTCAACTTGCCTACCCAAAACTTCGTAAACACATGCGAAGAAGGCGGCGAGGGCACCCGTCTTTCTGGTTGGGACTAGCCCTTTCTATTCTTCATACCCGGTTGTGGTTTTCGGCCGCGCGGCCACGTACTGCTTGTAGTGGTTCAGGTCGCGCCCGTCACTGAAGACCAGCATCCAGGATGGTGTCCTAGGATTCTTAGGCAAGCAAAGGGCCCGAAGATGGACGTTGGATGGGCTTACGAGGTCCAGGAGCTTTCCCAAAGCTTGTCGACCTAAAAGGCCGGGGGGTTGCCGAATCAAGCTCCAATGGCTTTTTTGAGGGCACCCGTCCTCCAACTAAGATGGAGGAAGTGAATATTATTTTCTTCTTGAAGGGACCAAGTCCCTGTCAGTTGCCATGTTTGTGGGAGGGAGTACCCTTGAAACCTCAAGGGAACTCACTTTTGTGTGGGGGGGGGGTTCCCTATGTTGACACATACCCACCACCTGAGCGGGCTAGCCAAACCACTCCAGCATGTCAACACAAGGCATCCGAAAAAGGGTGGGCCTCCAAAAGCACATACCTGGAGTCTCCATGACCCTTTAAAAATGGTTGGTCATTACCCAGAAGAACGGGGGTCATGGACCCATTTCTAAAGGGTCAGAGGGAGACCCCAGGTCTTCCTCTTCAAATGACGTGTGTGTTGGGGTTCCAGGTTCGCTTGCCGTCACTGCACATCCGAGAGCCTGGTTCCACTCCAACGAGGCCAAACAGGAAGAAGCGAAACTGAACAATTAGTGGTTCGTTGGTTGCTTGATTTAAAAAAAAAATGAAACGAATAACATGTCCCCCCCCCCAAAAAAAAAAGACAAAAAAGGAAAAGTAAATCTATTTCTCTTTAGTGGTACGCGTCCGGAATCCCAAGAGATCTAAACGTCCAGCTTTCACAGTAGGCTGCTCTGCACCTCTGCACACATCACCCCAGAACCTGCCCTCAAAGAAAGGGCTTTTCAGGCGATGTGGCCATGGGTCAAAATCCAAATCGTACCCCCGGTGAACATCCGATTCAATCCCCACTAAAATAGACTAAAATGGGTGCTGCACCTACCCCAAAATGGGATCCCATTGGTTTTGACCCACATCCATGTTTGTAAAAACACCAAGAGGACACAAAAGGAGCAAATATAGGAAGCACCTTTTTCAGCGCCTGATGGATTCAGATTTCGACCTGGGCGACTCAAGGAATCGCCTACAAAATCCAGTTGCTCGGTGACGCTCTTTGGGCTCACCCTCACTTTCAATGGGAACGCGCTAAACTTGGCCCACATCTGGGCTACATGTGGGGGTTGATCAATATTTCCTTCAGGCACGCAAATGACCATGGGTAACCTTTCCAATTTAGGCCTGGTCGTCCCATGTAAAGCACCTTTTCGTCTGACTCTGTTCCATATTCTGTATAAACTCCTTGGAGGCTGCCTCCAGTAAAGGTGATCCACGGAGCAACGGGGAGGCCGGGGCTGGCAGGCACAAACGCGCGGCAGCCATGACCCTGTCTTTGCATGGGCATGGCACATGGACCTCCGGTCGCGACGAGAAAAAACGGACACCCCCGCCTTTCCCTCCAGACACCCAAAATGGGCATCGACCCCTTTTGCTCTGGTAAAATCGGCATTAAAAAGGCTCTCTCTCCCAAAACAAGACGGCAAGCGGGACAAGTGGAGACCCTTTCGGCACGTTCTCAGGCTAAATCGGAGTTTCCAAGCACGAAGAATTGCCCATCTAAGTGGTCTTCCTGGTGTTTGTTTCCATGCTGGTCTCGCCCGGGTAAAAAGGGCGCGGAGCACGACGGAGGCCGCCGGGTCGGAGTGCCCTTGGCGCTTTCGCGCGGCTCACTTCACCTTCAGTTGGCCGCCCGCCGTGGGGAAGCAGTTGCCCCCGTCCTGTCGCGCGAATTGGTTGATGCCCCCCCCCCCAAGAAAGAAAAACAAGGAAAATGAAACAATAGTTCCAAAGGTATCCCACGCATTTCAAACTTGACCCGATTTGAAGCGTGACAAACCGTTACACATTCCTCCCAGCAGGGTCCTCTTTTCCCGAATGCCGTAGCGAAGAGTTCCGGTTGTTCAAGGGGTCTGGGGGTAAGAACGTGTTTGCGAGACGTGGTGGTGCGTTCGCAAGCGCTCGCAAGCGTTCGCAATTCTCGTGTGAAAAAAGTTGGCGTGCCGTTGGGATTGCTGCGCTTTGCTGAATCTTGCAGCGCGATTTGCACTTCAGGGGTGGTCGTTTTTGAGGTCTCTCGCTCGGCAGGCGCGTCTAAGCGTTTGCGCCGGTGTCATTGTCGGTGTCATCGGCTCGTTTTGGCGAGCTTGACATTTTGTCAAAATCGTTAGAAATCATTCTGGCGCCGCAGTCCCGTGCAAATTAGGAGCAGCTTTAGCAGCTTTAGCAGCAGCAGCAGCAGCAGCAGCAGCAGCAGCAGCAGCAGCAGCAGCAGCAGCAGCAGCAGCAGCAAGTAACCTGCTGTCAGCGGCAACAAAGGTGTTCGGGCACCAGCGAATTCGCAATGAAAGAGCTGTGCAACGGTAACAGTTTATGACACGGTGGCCCGAACTGCTGCGGGCACCGAGGCCGATGCAGCATCCGCAAGCTGCTGCAACTTCACCCACCCCCAACTGCAGTAAGGTTCTATGAGGCTTACAAGAGGTGTACCTGCTTACATGGGGTACCAGAAAACCCCCTTGACCCCCACTCCCCCCAACTCCAACCTCACTCCACCCCCAACTCCACCCAACCACCCCCCCGACTCCACCCCATTCACCAACTGCACCCCCCCCAACTGAAACGGGGGCTGCGATAATGTTGACCTTTTTTCATCAACACCAGTTTGTGAATACATGGGTGTCAACCTCGGTTTAGTGGTTGGATTCAGACCACTTTTGGAGGGGCACCCACCCCAACCCCCACCCCACCCCCATACCCGGGGGTCAACCTTCGTCCGCTTCAGTTTCGCCCCAGTTGCCCCGTCCTCATGGCAAGGCTTTGACATGTCATCCATGGTCGTGAAGTCTCCTGGCACCGCGTAGGCGCAGTCCTCCTCGATGTTGATGGCGCCGAAAGCCACCCTGGATGCGCTGAAACTCGAGGTCTCCCTGGTTTCATGCCCAGGAGGCCCACAAAAAGGGAGAAGGACTGAGAAGCATCTCCTTGCTTTGCTTAAGCCAGTTTGGATCTTACCCTCACTTCCAAAGTGGATGGGCCAAAAACACGTCTTCAAACCGTTTGTTTGTCTTCCCACAAAATATAGAGTCCATGAACGCAAGAAGTGAGGACCCCTTCTTCTTCGCTGGTTTTACACGTCCTTGCTGGTCGTCCCCCGCCGCATTGTTTTGGTGGTGTTACATATCACCGTTTGATTATTCCGATGCTTCCCCCCCTTTTGGGGAGTTTAAGCGTCACTGTGTGGCTTTTGAACAACCGGCCTTCCAGCCCCCAGTCCCTTATGGAAAACCAAAAGGAGGTGGTTGCGGTATTTAAGAATTTCAAGGCCCGGTACCCCTCTTACGCGTTTTGCTTGTTGAAGCTGAAAAGAACCCATCATTTGGAGGCTTCCTCCCCGATTTTGACGCATACCCACCCAGTTGGAAGGTACCCCCCAGCTGAGTTTGTCTTCGGCCCTGCCTGGCGTTGCCCATCTCTCCCCAGTACTCGCCCCAAGAGTTCCGCAAGTGCCAGTAAGATTGCTCGGCCTTTGAGCGAAGGCGAGGAAAAAACAAACAAACAACAAAAAACACACACAAAGAAAAAAAGAAAAAAGAAAACCACACAACAAACACAAAACACAACAAACACAAAACACAACAACAAACAAACAACTTGCTTTGTTGACACCAAGGTCAAAGTATGTGGCACAATTCCCTCAATGTGTTGCCAAGAAAAAGGATATGACAAATTAAGCCAAATTGGGGGAATTGCGCCTTCTATTTTCACCCGGGGAAAAAACACATTTCGAGTAGTGATAGGTTCCATTCAAAACCAACAGCAGGTTGCGTTTCTAAAAAACAAATAAATTAAGTTGCCGGTGCTCAGGGGAGGGAATGGACCCGCGGGTCTCCTTAACGGAAACCACCAGGGAGGGTTTATATGGGTCATTGCAATTCTCATTCCCTGCCTATCGCACCAGCACGCAAACGGAGGTAAAAGAAAACCTCCAGCTGGGGAACCTCCTTTTGCTTTTTCGTCTCCTGGAAAATATACATAAAATATGTCCAGTAGTGAAATCGATTCACTTTAAAGCCAACAGCGGAACAACAAAAACATTTCAGCAAATGGAAGGGAAGTGAGCTGCAACTGGGTCGTAGCCCCAACCATAGACCGCGATGTCGTGGTCGATCTCATTGCCCGCGTCCGTGACGATGCCTCAAGGAGGCAAAAGCTCGTCTTTTCCAGGCAATGCCTTTAACTGGCCTCATGATTTTATCATGGTCAAAGTCACCCCCGTTCAATGGTGGGTTAAAGGGAAACAACCCCATTTGTGACTTTGATACCCCCCAAGGACCGTCAAAATAAAGACCCCTGCTTAAACACGTCACGGTTTGGCTGAAAGCAACATCGCCCCACATCCGGAAAGTCACTCGAAAACGGCAACCAAAACTGGGCTGCCCTCAAATCCCCCGCTAAAAGTTTAACTTTTAGTGGGTTAAATGGGCACTACCACCAAACACTAAAAGGCTAAAAAGCCAAGGGGATGGCTGGGAGCCACCAAGAAAAGTGATGCTTAAACAAACCAAAAGGGAAACCTAGGGAAGCCCTGCAACAAGCCAAAGCCCACCTAAGCGAAAGGCCCCCCCCCCGCCGCCGAGAAGTTCGAATGAGCTGCCGCTGGTGTAGTTCACCAAGAAGTTGGCGTCCACGCCGCAGACGATGGGCCCCCTGTGAAAGATCTCCCTCTTCATGGCCTCGCGATGAACTCAGCAACCCCTCTCGATGCCCCGCAAGGGGGACCTAGAAAAAGGCGATCGCCTGTTGGGACGGAAACATGGAAGCCAAGTCAGGGAAACCAACGGATGGCCGGACTTGTTGTGGTCTCCGCGACACGGAGTGAGCAGTACTGGTGGTACCTGGAGGGTTTTATACCATCCGAGTAGCGTTGTGCCACACCATACCATCGCCTCACCAAAAGGATAAAAGGTTGATTCATGGTCGATTCG